TTTGTTTGAATATGGCGCTTATCACATGCTGTGTGGTATCGGCGTTTGGTATCGGGGCATTTTAACGAGTACAGGAGGCCAGTATCGGTATCGGTGCATCCCTAATTATCGTGCTAATTTATTTAATTATTTATTTACTTAGTTTCATTGCCGGAAAGTGAACTAACTCCAGCGTAAAGCTAAAAACAGCCTTTTTAATGTGACTGAATTTGTATTTAACATGATAACAATTCAATATAAATATTGTAAGTTACTAATTATAATGCTTATATTTCCTCAGTTATTCAAAAAGCAGCTACAGAAAACGAGCAAAGAACATTTACATTACCAAAGAACATCATCACAAGCTCAGTGTAGCGCGAGTTTATGCACTTTAAAGATCAGTGAAGATATCTACACTGTATGAATAAATCTCTTATACTTACATCGCACGTACATCTGCACTTTGCTGTTTATGATGAAAGAATTTGCGAGTCAGAATTCAGTCAGCGATGACTCATCTGAATGCCTCTGATTGGCCATTGCATTCATAAGCTCAGCATAATCGTGTGTGATTGGTTATAATGCACAACACTGTTAAAACGCGGAAAAATAAATATAATGGAACAAATAAGCCCTAATATTAATTAGATAGTATTACTAACCTGATAATAATAATAATAATAATAATCGGCCACAGGCGATATCTCTGACTATCGTCGATACATGATACTATCGTCTATCGGCACAACCCTACTCTAGAACAGTCATATTGCGCCCACATCGTAGGCTTTGCGATCAGTAAATCACAACGTCTCAAATCACGATTGCGGTTCGATTTCGATTAATCGCACAGCCCTAGTCAACACATAGGCTATGGCTTTTTGGCTAGGTTTAAAGGAAAAGAGCACTTTTAGATAAAGGCAATAATAGATGGCACTCATGGAGGAAGGAAAACAAAGTTCTTTATGAACCGCAGGATTGCTTGTAATAAAGAGTTCAATTCAAAAGGAAAGGCAGTAGAGCTGACTGCTTCTGTCAATGGTAAGTTTGTGATAACGTAAGAAAAGTAGTTTAAATGTTTTGCCACTTGCTTGAGCAACTTAATATATAAATCTAGAAGTAAATACAAAAGTAAAAAGCATTGAATAATGTGTTTCTTATATTTATAGCATTTAAACACATCTATGAAAGATTGTATTACTGTACTGTGTAAATAAATAAAAAAGAATCACAATGCAGAATAAGCACTTTAAGTAACAATGTTTGGATTTGAAATCAAAATAGTGGATAAATGTTGTTTGTAGTAAACAGCCCTGGACTCCTGTGTGAAAGCTGCTTCTGTAACACACACGGAGTATGTGTGAACCTCGCTTAACACTGCCTCACATACAGCTCACGAAATCAGGCTTGTGCTGTGTGTAAGCTATTGTCAAAACAAAAATGCAGTGCATGATCAAATGTTTAGGTGAGATAAATATATCTTTTTGAAAAATGTCTAAGAAAATGATCCTCACAAGAGTCACCTAAGAGGGGAATTCATTTTCAAAAATGATATTCAGGCCCTGAATAAATGTCAAAATCTTGATGGGATCCTCACTATATATAGTTATAAATGATAAAAAGAAGGCTTTGAAAAGACCGGTATCGGTGATCGTATCGGCAGATACTGCTTTCTGTGATCGCCTCAAAAATCCTGATCGGAGCACCCCTAATAAACATAACAATACAAGCCTCTTACACGATGCTCCGGCAAAGCCAACAGTATCGTGAAGGACCCCACCCATCCCTCCCACAGTCTCTTCCAGCTCCTACCATCAGGAAGACGGTACCGGAGCATCAGAGCCCGCTCCGCCAGACTGCTCAACAGCTTTTTCCCCCAGGCTGTGAGAGCCCTGAACTAAAATCACCCCGCCCTCCCCTGAAACCCCACACAACCCCCTACCTCCTGAAACATGGACCATCTCACCAACCTTACCGCATCACAAAAAACTGTCTGAAACAATTCGAAGTGTGCTACAGGGCCTGCACAAACCACCTGTAGAAACACACTCTCCTCTATGCGCACTAGACACTTTTCACACACACTGCTTTGTGTACATAATCCCACAAAAGACTCCGTAATAGGTGTGTTTACATGCTCATGCACTACAAATCATCTGCACTGTTCCCCAGCCAGCTGCTTGACTTACGATGTTTCTCTTTGCACATGTACAGTATTATGTGAAGCATCCGTATAGTCTGTATTTTATTTTTATTATTATTTTTTTTTAATTTATGCATAGGTAAACATTTATATATAGTATATTCATAGTCAAATCTGTCAGTAGGTTAGCTGTGTATAGGTACAGTGTTTATGTGAAGCATCCGTATAGTCTGTATTTTTTTAACTTATGTATAGGTAAACATTTATATATATATATATATAGTATATTTATAATCAAAATCAGTCAGTAGGTTAGTTGTGTATAGGTTTTTACTGTTTTACTTCATTGTTGTATGTCCGTATTTATGTAACACCGTGGTCCTGTGAGGCACGACATTTCGTTCCACTGTACGTCCCCACATGCAGCAGAATGACAATAAAGCTCAACTTGAACTTGAACTTGAACTCTGTTACTATATTGCTTTAAATTGTATTGAAGCTTACCATGCATCATCTTGGAAATAAAGCTTCATGTCTTTACGTCTGAATGCAGTCAGCACTATTTCTCTGAATGATGTTATGATGCCTGCATTTTATGATGTCCTGATTGAGCAACATCTATTTCAGACTCTTCAAAACTATTATTCAAAACTGGTGCTTTATTATCACATTATCATAATATAATGCTTGATTGACTGATGTTAAGAGTGTACATTCAGATATTTAAGAAGCTGTGCTATTTTACAAAGATAAGCTGGTTTGGTGGAATCATATAGTAGTATAATCTACATTGTATATTGTATGTGTGTGTGTGTGTGTGTCTGTGTCTCTCTCTCTCTCTCTGTGTGTGTCTGTGTGTGTGTGTGTAAAATAGTATATCAGTCTGGCGAGTAAACTAAAAAATGTACTAGCCAATGGCGATTATATTGCCAAGGTGTGCGTAGAGGGTTGCAAATACACCTGAATCAACTGATCAGCTCGTTAGAAAAGAGCTCACAGACAAGAGACATTATGTGCACATCTGGTGTCATTAAAGTCAACAGGGTTGCAAAAAGAAAACTGCAGGGTCCCTGAAAATAATCAGATTAAAGGAGAACTGAACGATCTCGGACGCATAGTTTAACCGGCCAACACGGAAGGGAAAAAACGTTTTCCTGCTTCGGACTCGAACCAATGTTTTCATATATCAGCTTAATAATTATAACATTATTACACTGGCCTAGAAAACCCCAACCCAAGAGAAATCCGTACATGCAAGTATTTATGTAACTACATCAGCCTGTGCTGTGCTGCATACAGTGCATGTGTTAGCGTCTCACCAGCCGAATGAAGCCGAATCCTCGGTCTCGGTTGATGAAAACCTCCTTTGCTTCGCCGTATTTGGAAAACATCTTCTTGAAATCGTCCTCCGTCATATCCGACGGGAGATTACCGACAAAGAGTCTGCACCGCTGCGTGAATGTTTTCTCCCCGGGTCTCCGGAAGTTCTTCAGGTTCACGGTCATCTCGTGCGGCTCGGTGTCGGCGGGGCTCCGGTCCCGCGGCGGCGGAGCGGCGGTCTCCGTGACCTCGCTGGGATCCGCTGGAGAGTTCACATTCTGCGGCTGCGGAGATGCAGCGTTAGCGCTGTTGGGATTATTCACCTGCTGGAGGTTACGGCTCGCCATCGCGCTGCAGCCTTAACTATCACTAATAAAACACTGGTTCTGTTTTTAGCTGGCTTTAATTGAAATCCCCGTAATTTACCAATAGAATGGCGTTATTTTCTATTATGTTCTGTCGACTATTATTATAACGCAAGACGCAACGACCCAAAAGAAAAAGCTTGCAGCTCTTCTTCTTCTTCTTTTGAGGTTTTATTGGCGGTTGACAAACAACAAAATGGTGTATTACCGCCACCAACTGGTATGGAGTGTGGACTAGTTATTCTTCTTCTTCTTCTTCTTCTTCTTCTTCTTCTTCTTTGGTGTTTTATTGGCGGTTGGCAAACCAGCTTATAGGTGCATTACCGCCAGCGACTGGACTGGAGTGTGGATCAAGATTATGCAATATATATGATGGGAAAGACGGGAAAGGGCCATACAAAACAAAAAAAACATATATATATATATATATATATATATATATATACACACATATACACACACACATATATTATCTATATTCTATATTCTCTTACTTCATTCACATTCTTTTATAAACCTAATAATATCATCATATATCTTGTTAGCTGATTTCCCCAATAAACCTGACAAAGAAAAGTCATGGTGTTTTACTTTCTTCGGAGTGTGGACTAAAATTACTTCCTTTTTTTTTATATCCTCTCCCATAAATTAGTTATTTTAAGATACTGAAAAATAAAACTATAATATTCATTTCCCGAATTATTTTGTAAAATGTCTTATTTTTGCTACATTTTGCGTTAGAATCCTTCTTTCAGTCTCGTATTTCTGACAGTACAGCATAACATGTTCCACTGTTTCTTCTTGACGTTGTTTTTATGGCTTCTTTTGCTGCCTTATCTGCTATTTCATTTCCTTGGATACCAATATGTGCAGGTACCCATAAGAATACCCCTGTAATGCCCATCATTTGAATTCTGTATAATGTTTGCTTTATTTCAATTAAAATGTCTGGTCTACTTTCCGAGGGACTGTATTTTAAGCTAGCCAATGATGAACTTGATTTCACAGCTCTTATCTCCTCTATCCACTGTATTGCTAATAATAGTGCAATCATGTCCCCTGTATAAACAGATAACTCATCACTGATCCTTTTCCTTGCTGATCAATCTTATTCTGGAACAGTAAACGCTACTGCTACCTTATTGCTTAAACTCTTTGATGCATCTGTGTAGATCTGAACATAGCTGTGGTACTCATTAATATATGTCTGCACATTACATGAATTACACGCCTTATGCTTATTTTTCTTTTCTAACAATGTAAAATGTACTGTAACGTCTGGAAGTAACCAAGGTTTTATTACAGGTAGCGGTACAGTTGGACTAACATTTAACTGATTAACTTTAAGTTCTGTTGCTTTCTGTATCACTTCCATACAAAGCTTTTAATTTTCCTCCTCTCTTTTCCCCAACAGGGCTTTAAAGTATCTAGTGTTGGATGCTCTTGACTATGGCCTTGTAAATTAACCCAGTAATTCACTGATAACTGTATCCTTCTCATTTCTAATGATATTTCCCCCATTTCAACCTGTAGTGCTGTAATTGGTCTAGTTTTTATAGCTCCGATACATAGTCTGATGCTGTATATTGTCTAACTTTCTAAGAGACGTTTCTGCGTCTGATCCGTACACCACACAACCATAATCTAACACAGATCTAATCAACCCACTGTATATGGCCTTTAGTGCCATCCTATCTGCCCCACATTCACTGCCAACTAAACCTCATTATATTTATTACTTTCTTACATTTATCCAATCGCCCAGGCAATTCTTTCATCAAACCACAACCCTAAAAACTTAAAATGTTTCACTCTTTTCAGTTCTGGATTATATAATTTTAGTTTGACCTCACCTCCATTTTTGTTCCTTGTAAAAAACATTATCTTTGTCTTGTCAGCTGAGAATTTAAAACCACATATGACCATTCTTCAACTATTGCAATAGCCTCCTGTAATTTTTTAACAATAAAATCAATGTTCCTTCCCCTTTTCATCAGCAAAGAGCGATAACCCCAGTCCATTATCCAAATCCTCAAATACAGCATTTATCATTATGGAAAACAATAAAGGGCTCACTATATGTCCTTCTCAATCACAAACTTTTCTGGATAACTGTTTCCTATTTTAACTTTTATTGCTCTCCCTAATAAAAAATCCTTGATCCATCTATACATTTGACCTTTGATACCTAACTTCCATAATTTGATTAACAGCTCTTCTCTCCACATCATGTGGTATGCTTTCTCTATGTCAAAGAATACGGCCACTACTCTCTCTATTTATTTGGGCTTTTCTTATTTCGTGTTCTAAACACACAGCTGGAGCCATGGTATTTCTCCCTCTCCTAAAACCACTCTGATATTTGGAGAAATATTTATTATTTTCCACATAATACATTAACCTTTCACTCCTGCATCTCTTCTTCTTCTTGGACGTTTTATGGAGGTTGGCAAACCCACTTTTGGTGCATATACCGCCACCTCCTGGGGATGGAGTGTGGAGCATTGATATTATGGGGAACATTAAATAAATAAATAAATACAACTTTTACATATTCTTTCTTAAATCCTGTTTTTAATTTAACAGTATATTGAAGACTCCTGTATCTTTATTTAACAGATGTTTCAATGAAAACTGTGCTCCTACATTTCTAAGAGCCTCTATTAGTTGTTGTTTTTCAGCCTCATATCCTTTGCATTTTATTAAAAGATTAAAAGACTGTTTCAAGTTGCTCACATTTGACACAACATCCAGATTCATGTTTTCCAATGATATGAAGTGACTGAGGCTGCATTTACACTGCAAGTCTTAATGCACAGATCCGATTTTCTGACCCGTCTGTTTACATTCACTTTAGACACGACTGGTATCTGATATCTGTGTTTACTTAATTCCCGCCCAAAATGATAGTCAATGATCACTTTACACACATTGTAGACCCTCGGGTTTTGAATGGCCGTGCTATTAAAATTATTTACATAATACACGTCAAGTGGCCATTATTATTTGCCAGCATGGACAACAGCTGTCATGGACGTTTTGCAGAACAAAATCTGACTGAACGGATAAATACGGAAAATAACAGTAATTTGTTAGGCTATTTTATCTACAGCTCGTTAAAGGTGGAATTATTTAGTGAAATAAAGTAGCGCCAAGATGATATTTATTTAAATTAATTTGAATGAATTAACGAGAGAGAGAGAGAGAGAGAGAAGCTTGCGAACAAGTGAAAGTCACGTCATTGCTAAGAGATATAATGTAGCTTTAGCGAAGCTGTTGTATTTATAAAATTCACTGGGCAGGGGTTAAAAACCAGCTCCTGAATGTGCAATTTCTTACCTAGCCTACACAAAGTTTCCATCTAAGTAAAATGCGAGCGCATGCACGTCTGGCTAACATGTCGCCCTCGCATTGGGACTCCTGCGGGGATTCGGATAAGTGTGTTTAGATGTAGGTCGGATGTCCAGATATCGGATATGTATCCGATTAAAATCCACATTTGGAAGTGGCTCAGATCGGATGCGAAAATAAAACCATGCCCTCTATTCAATATTCTGTTTCAGCTGGAAATACGTCACTACACTGAAATAAAGTCGGCAGCAACTTCCGGTTCATGTGGACTTTAAGTGCAGAGTGCCCTGCATCTCGTCTCTCTTCTTCTTGTTTTATGGTGGTTGGTATTCAGCTGTTTGGTGCATTACAGCCACCTTCTGTTCTGGAGTGTGGATCAACCAGCAGGTTCACAATCTATAGGATGAGTGGGGGAAAGAGAGAAAAAATGATGCCTTCTTAAGCATCATAGCATATAATAAAGACCAGTGTCTCTTTGAAGGCTAACAGTTCTCTGACCTCCTTCAGTCATACTCAGGGCTGTTTTTAAAGTGAGTTCCTGCACACCAATGCCTTCAGATTAATATCTCTGTGTGTCATGTATTTTCGACAATTTAGAATTACATGCTCCACTGATTCCTCTTCCTGACAATCCTCACACAAACCAGTCTGGTGTTTACCTACCATTTTTAATGTTTTATTTAGTGCACAATGCCTTGACCTTAATACAATTAAATAAAATTTCCTCTCTCCTGTTTTCACTACTTTTTCCCAGATTATGCATTTCACCTCTGCACTTACTGATTCCTATTTGCATGGTTTCCTTCTTTAACACCACCTCATCCACTTTCTCATGTCCCTTCACTCCTTTGTGCGTCGAGACCCATGGAAATGTAACTTGTCATGCCCCTGCAGCCAATACTATGCACACACCGCCATCTGCTGGGATGTTGTGCAAATGCTGCCTTATAGAAATCAGCGCATGAAAAGGTATTTCTTCTTCTTCTTCTTCGTTTTCTTTTTCCTGTACATTAGAATGTGTCCTGTTTTACTGTTTTTCTGAGCAAAAAATAATGGCTATCATACATTTTTACCACGACTTACAGAAGGCACCCACTAAAAATGTAATTCAGTGTAAGAATAGTGCATATAATCTTGTTAGGCAGATTTAGGACCAGAATCAATAGATGTCATTAAAAGACTATTATTTAAAAGACTATCACCTGTGTCTGGCCGAGTTCATTGTTTACCCGTGTATTAAATACACAAGCTTCCTTACTTCTTTGTCTGTCTTTATGTGTGAAGATGTGACAGTTTTCATTACCTGTTGGATTTCTGTTTTGATCCTTACCTGCCTTCCGTTATGATATTTTCTGTTTTTATTTAAATATTAGAATTTTTGTTCAAAGTGCCAATTTTTGGCAAATTGCAATGTGGGTCACTTTGACCGCCAAAACAGTTGTACCCAGTTTTTAAACACAACATTAAGCTCAGATTTGTGGTCAGTTTTATTGTAGTGAGCTTCAGTCTTATGAAAGTTAAGGCCCACTCTAGAACCTCAAATGGATGGTATTGTGTCTGTTTTACTCACCTCTTGCAAGCTGCAAATCATCATAATTTATAAATAAACCATTTATCTTTTCTTGAAATATATTTACATATTAAAAAGTTTAGTGAGAGCATGCTTCAATTTTTTTTAATAAAACCTTTATTCCTTAATTTAACCTTTATTTTAAAAAGAGAGTACAAATAATAGCCTACAAACCCACACTTTTCAGCCACAAATGCAACTTACAAACACAACAATGTCTCAAGAAAAGGTTCTCACACAAAGCATGCATACAAATAATATTAAGCATTTTATTTA